TGTCACCTTTACTCTTTTCCATTTTCATTAATTCAATTACTCATAAAATTTCTTCTCTCTACCACATGTATGCGGATGATGTCCAGATTTATACCCAGTCAACTCTTGAGAATTTGCCAAATGCAATCGCTACATTAAACAATGACTTAAATATGATTCATGAGTGGAGTCAATCATATGGCCTAAATGTCAATCCTAAAAAGTCACAGGCTATCATTTTTGGTAGTCAGAGCTTTATCTCAAGAATTGACTGGTTTTCCATACCACCTGTTGTATTCGATGGGGTTGTGATCCCTTACTTTGACAATGTCAAAAATCTTGGTGTTTACCTTGATAGTTCCTTAAATTGGAAACGCCAACTGAATGAGGTAAGTAAGAAAACCTTTGTCGCTCTCTGTTCTCTGCATCGCCTTCCCATTCCTACAAAAATTATGCTCGCACAGTCTCTTCTCCTTCCGATTCTCGACTATGCTGACGCAAGCTATGTAGACATAACTAAAGACCAGCTAACTAAGCTTGAGAGACTTCAAAATACTAGTATTCGGTTCATATTTGGATTGCGCAAATTTGACCACATTTCCCAATTTCGCTCACGTCTCAAGTGGTTACCTATCCAATTTCGCCGGAACATGCATATTCTTTCTATTCTGTACTGTTCTTATTATTTCACCCTTCTACTTATCTCACCCTTCTACTCCTCCTTATCTTAAGGAGAAATTTAGTTTTGTTGGGCTCCAAGGGAACCTTTACCCCCCCCCCCCCCGAACGGGTTCCCGCCTTGTCATGGCGGGGGGGCTTAGTAGCCGTGGCTTGGTCTCCCACGGTGAACAAAGAGGAACCCACGTGGCTGGCCCGAGGTGAAGGGCCGGCCTGAGGTGGCCGCTCCGAGTGGGCTTGGGGAGCCCACTTTGGATGTGTGCTGGTGGACTGCAGCGAGTGGGGACTCGCGCACCCTCTACCGCTGCAGCCGAGGTGGAGTCGCGGAGGAAGAGGAGTGTTGGTATGGCGATGCGCCACTCGCCCTATCCTTCGCGACTCAAACGGGGCCGCACCGTTGATGCGGTGGTGGTGGGGCTGCGGGGGGAGAGGATTGTCGGTATTGCGAGGCGCCGCTCTCCCTACCCTCCGCAGCCGAATTTTGGTTGGCGGCGGAGCCATAGACCAGATCCGCCGCTGGGGTCGGGAAGGCTAGTACTTCTAAGTGCTCGTTTTTCCTGGCCCCATGGCCTTTGTGCATCGGACGCGGGGGGCGTCTGTTGCACAGACGTTGTTGGAGGCCGTGGAGGAAGGCGCGCCATGTGTTCTGGTGCGCCTTACCTGGGAAGGAGAATGGGGAGGAATTTTCCTCTCCCGAGGAGGTGCTGCCATGGGGCGGCAGGCGCTAGTAGGGCCGCGGATGTGTGCGAAAGCGTTCCCGTAGCCCTGCCAATATGCGACAAAGGTGGAACACCATGGGGTTTTAGTCGGTGCGAGTCCGACATAACCCGTCCTTGCCCCCGCGAGGCGGGTATGCGTAGGCATTTCCCCCATGCAAAAAAAAAAAAAAAAAAAAAAAAAAAAAAAAAAAAGGGGAACCTTTACGCTCTTCAAGAAAACTCATTTTAAGGGTACCAACTCACAATACATCTTTCTTTAATAAATCTTTTACTGTACAGTCTATTAAGCTCTGGAATGGATATATGTATGTATATATGTGTGTTTGTGAGTATTTATGTATGTATATCTATATATATATATATATATGTATATATGTGTGTGTGTATGTTTATGTATATACCTATGTATATGTGTATCATATTTTTTTAATGTATTAGTTATTTACTTATATGTTATTTTATTGCATGTATTGATATTATATTAGGTATATTTATATTGCACCACCTACCTAGTACTCACTGTTTTATTCCTTTACACCTTTGGTTGCCTGGAAGAGATCGCTATGTAACGAAAAGGCCGCCAAATTGTACATGTAATCTGCTCTCTGTTATGTTCTTTGTAAATTTGTTTGTGGTGTGCAATAAAGTATATTGATTCATTCATTCATATATATATATATATATATATATATATATATATATATATATATATCATGAAGTGAATTGAAACTCCGGTTCCCGATATTTAATAAATAAATACATTTATGCGCGAATAGAGAGGAGTAAATACATATAGTAAGTCATTTTTATTTTCCCACTGGTTCGAAAAAACTCTGTCCTGGGAAGAACCAGCAGGAATCACTGCGGGACTTTTTTTTGTAAATTTTACAATGTGAATGGTCATAAAATATTTACAAAATTTATTTTATAAACAGCTTATGTAGTAAGTGGATGCTGTAACAAGTAGAACCTAAATCAATCCTCTATTGAAAATCAAAATGAGGACTAAGATTGAACGCCTCGTTTCCAGTAAAATTTACTTCCGGTTAACTACACTCATCGTACGAAAAATAGGAGCATTGAGCTGTTATTTTGCGCTGCTACGTAAGTATTCTAAGAGACCGTTATCCCACTCTGACCGAGCCGACCCATTAGTGCTGCAACCATATACATATAGATACACTTCGAAATTGAGAACTTGGCCACCATTTCATATTTATGTTTTTGGCGAGATTACTTACGTACATAAACTGTGACAAGGACAAAATATATTCCAACATTTTAACTACTTATACTTAATGTGTCGTAGCTTTTAACATGTAATTGATAGACTATTAAATGTTTTATTCATAATCTAGTACTATATTTTGTATATTAATCCTGTTGCTGGAGTTGTGGCCGAAATGTGTGATCCGAAATCAGCAATGAAATGGTTTTAGAGTTTGCACGCCGAGTTGACTAGAAATGGCTACCTAGGTTTGCCTCTTCACCTAGCGCCAGCTCTTTGGACTCCTCTTAGTTCATTATGGTTGAGCAAGCTAATACGGCGGCATCCCCTATCCTCTCCAACTCATTTTTGCTCATATTAGAATATATTATTTATTATAGAATTATCGAACGCTTCCAAGATACAGAACATGCAGCTTATGGATGCGCTTCTGAATAGTATTTCGTGATAAAATGGAAAAAGGCTTAAGATTTAGCGTAACGGATATCAAAAACAATTCTCGACGTAGTTTCAACACACATCCATTACAGGTAGTTTCTCATAGTTTGGCAAACTCAGTTTTTTCATTATTTTACGTTGTTATCATAAAAATGCTGCCATCCATCTTCAGCTACAGTTTCCCTCCGTCGCATTTCGACCTGGTCGCTTAAGTGTCGCCAGGGCTGTATTGGGTAGTGGATATATTTTCACCGCTACTACATGGTCGGTTTTCATTGTAATCTTATTACTACATATAATAATAATATTTAAAATAGCAATTAAAGACTAATGTATGTACTTCAAACTGAGACATTTCGTTCGGTTGCAATGCCGGAGGGTCTTGGTCGAGATCAGAAATTTCAATATCGTCCTTTTTCATCTCAGACTCCATGTAATGAAGCCGGCGTTCCATCTCAGCACAACGGCAAACTTCCGACGCAAACTTACGTAAATATGGCTTGATATCTTCATTAACCTTAAAAATATAAGTACAATAATAATACAACGTTTTAATAATAAATTAGACAAAAGCAAGAACAACAAAGAAAATGCCTTTCGCAATTAGAAAATTTTTAATTATAAATTCTTATAATTTTATTAACTTCACAGTCTCTTTGAACTGCTTATGAAATTAACAGGGTATGTAGATAAGAAGTGTTTTTCTCATTTTATATTCTAAAAGCTATTTATGTATTTGTTATTTACAAATTGCATAAAGCTCATATAAATAACTAATATCGTAAATTTAAGTGACATCAAATGAATATCAAATTATAAATTAATTTCAAAACGAAAAGATCTTTGTTGATTACTTCCAACCCGGCCTGGATAGGATAATAGGATCTATTAATGTGGTACTTTTTTTATATTTAAGATAGTCAATGACTGTTTATTTTAACAAAATTTGAACAATGATTATTTTTGTCTTAGTACATGGAAATAACACTCTGAGCTTGACGACAGTCAGTTATTTCAATAATATTACAAACAGATACTTTAAATATATATATATATATATATATATATATATATATATATATATATATATATATATATATATAGGCCAGCGGCCCGCCCCGGCATTTACTGAGCAGGATCTAATTGGTGCCGTTATATACATATATAAGATAAAATATAAGGCAGTGATTGCGATATTAAAGACATACACTTCAATTTAATTTATATATAGATAGATAAAACACGTACGTCCAAAAATTGCAAGCAACCCATTTCACCGAATCGTGACACAATATCGAATGCGGCTTCTGGCTGCAGATAGACATCGCACATTGACATTGCATCGCTTCTCAACATGGAACTCATATTGGTTTATTGTATATTCACAATTAAAATAAATACGCTTTGAAACTTAAATACTTAATTAATTCCAAAACAACTCTTTATGTGGTTAAATTATGTTTTTGTCAACTTCGTGATTGACGTGAAACTTTGTTCTTTTTTATATCGAGGTTACTTTTTCATACCAGATTGCCAGAATCATTCAAAAATCAATAAATAAAGAAGCATGTTGCACTACACTACAACTCTGTCGTCGTGGGGTACAATTTTAACAAAAATACGATTAAAATAGGTATAGTAATATGATCGGAGTTAAACAAACAGCATTTTTTTTTAAATAAAGTAACACACGAGCACACAGTTCACATGATGGTAAATGGAAGCTGTGTCCTATGGACATCGGCACTTATCCTCGATTAAGAATGAAAATTTAGATTCATTTTCACCAGTAATGATGCCAAATATTCAGTAAAACTGTGGTCTCTGGTTCTGTACACTCAACATACGAACCAGAGCAACTGTTATTTTACGCTGTTATTCTGTGAGGCGTGGTCATTCCCCGGTCGAGCCGACACAAATTGGCATGATCTGAATTGCCAATGATAATTATAAATCGTAATGATTTTATTATATTTAATACAGATACTCTTTGATTACTTATATTAATGGATCATTTCCCATGATCTCTTTTATTTATATTTTTTTAATATTAAAGTTGCCATCATTATAATAAAAATCGGTGGTGACTATACAATGAATTTCTGGTCATATATTAAGTATAATTTAATCTACACAATATAAATAAAATTTAATTATCTGTCTATAATATCAAAAAAGCTACTATAATATATTGTATTTTGATTATATTAAATGGGTATGTTATAAATATTACAGCTGTAAAGTATACATACTCCATGTTTTCATAACATGTTACGTTTAAAAAGTTATGACAGGTGGCAAAAGTTACATGAGAACAATGCCAGAATCTTTGAGTAATAACTTCAGGACCATCAGTACACTTTCTACCGAGAGGTAAGAACATACATACATAGCTAGAATGCATATCAGAAATTCAATATTATAAAGCTGAAATTGAAATATTTAACATACTGTAATGATATGGGTCGTTTCTTTCGGCAAATATTTTATAATTAAAACAATAAGCGATAATATAGCCCACAAAATATATCTCACTACTCAACAAATATATAAAGTAGGATGAAACTCGATAAAGGTTCGCTACGCAGCGTTACCTTCTTCTGTTATTCTTCGAGTCCCTTAGGAATCGTAGGCAACAGCATAATTTACTGTTTCCCGACTAACTTTTGAGGTGGGCTTGTTAGTCCCAGGGGTTGGTGAGCCTACTTCCTCACACATTATACTCAATTGTTGCGTACGCCCTCGAACAGTTTTGTGAGAACATATACAACCGTATGATGTTTTTACAATGCTTACAACTTAAAATTGTATTCGGTACATTCGGTAATAAATAATAAACATAAATTTTCAAACCATTTCAAGACATCAATACGAGCTAATTCGTACAGTATAATAATAAGTGATGATAAACTGTGGTAGCTCCGGGACTAAGCGCTCGATGTAAATTTGACAGTTCGCGAGGAATCCGGGTTCAATCCCAGCCGACACAAATGAAATTATTAATTGTCACAATCTTAAATGATGATATACTACGTGCGGTGAAGGAAAACATTTCCTTGCCCTAAAACGCTCTCAAATATAAAAGGATTCCTGTGCCCAGCATTAGTCTTTTAATAATATTATATGAAAAACATTATATGTATTGTACCATCTTATTAATGTAACCTTAAGGTTTTCTACGATCAAATAACACATAAAAACGTACTCAAATCTATAGAAATCGACAGAACAAACACGGATCACCGGCGCGGTAGCAGGCAGATGTCGTTTTTTTAAAATAATAACATTATTTATTTTGTATAAACCAACACATTCCATTTTATATATATATATATATATATATATATATATATATATATATATATATATATATATATATATATATATATATATATATATATATATATATATATTATAAACTGCATAATCTGACAGTGGCTTATATTATATAAAGAAGTATCCATGTTTTCGGTAAAGGTGTAGCAACATAATCAGCCCACAGAATGTGGCGGGAACGTTTCCGGCGGAAATGTTGATACGCTTCCGAAAGTGCCAAGGGAATGCAGGGTTGGCAAATCCCTAAAGACTGAGTTAGAAACGAATTAAACGTGCGGTACTCACATGTAATTTATTTACATCATGATCTTTTAAATTTCTCACCTAACTTAAAATATCGATACATTTGATAAAAATATTGTACCAAAAACGCATTGTCGTATACAGTGACTTTATATTTAAGGTAATCTAAGGCAGACCTATGTTCAGCAGTGGACTTTTGATAGCATGCAAAGGATAGAATAGAGGAATGAATGACATTTTAATGACGCCTACACGCTTCAGGGCAACTAAGTAATTTTATATTTAATCAGTATCAAAGAGTAATTATCGACAGGAGATTGCTTATTTCTTACGTTCGCTGCAGGAGACACAAAAGCTAAATGGTTTTAGCTTTTGTATCTCCTGCAGTGAACGTAACGTGCTCAACTTATTCTAACAACACCCACTTTCTTATATGCAACTAAACATATGTTTAGGTGCATACGTTATATGCATAACTTTTTAGAGAATTTGTTGCTGTATTATGGCTTTTACTTATTTACCACCAGGTGGGCTGTGAGCTCGTTTATCACCTTTATCCTATAAAAAAAGAAAAATAAGTAGGCGTGAATGGCGCTTTAAAAAGTTGAGATTATTAAAACTATTCAGTTATTCTACCGTTATAATATATCCAGAAAAAAATTTTACGAATGGAAAAAATAAAATATATATAGCCATAGCCAGTATTATATTCTTCTTCCAAAAAAATAAATATCGCTTCAGTTTTGAAGGCAGAAACAGGGAAACGAGATGATGATTTCGTCAATTTCTCAAAAGTAAAAACTCGCTTGTTTAGCTCGGTCGTTCGGGCACAGCCCAACCGCAATAGATCATTAAAACCCATTCTTCTTTATTGCAGCCTAGATATCATTCAATGAAAGAGGCAGAGGTGGAGGCATTTAACCATATTATATCTATATGTTGAATCATAATAAAGAGTATGACTTGTTTTATTACGATGTTTTCTGCGTGGGCTTTCTGCCCAGCAGATTTCGAGCCACGGGGAATACCTACCCCTTTACCCGGACATTCTTCACTGCCCACAACAATGGGCCGGCCCTGGGCCCCTTTTCTGTTAAGGGGATGTCAGTTTGTTAGCGGCTATTTGCCGCAGTCGGGTAAATTTGTTACAGACGGTTAAATTATAAGAAAAACGAAGTTATCCAGTGTTTGTCAGAGTTGGTCTTTCTGTGGCATTGAGGGTTTTACTCGACTCACTAATCTATCTAGCAAGGAGTTCTCTTGGATAGGGTCGCCCGTCCGGGTAAAAACTCGGGCCGTGTAAGTAGCGGTGCTAAGTCGTTAAGGTGTTGGTGTGTCTCGCTGTCAGCGCGGTCAAACATGCCGCGCACCAGTCGGACCACAAATTCTGAAGGCTTCCAATTTTCTTCGGCTATCTTCCACTCACCCAGTCATGGTGGCACAGATCCAGCAGACGTTGCATCCTGGCAGAGGCGATATGGGCCCTTCTGGACGAGGTGAAGTAGACGCGGACTTGTTTTAATATATTTTTAAACTAGTAAAGGTTTAAGCAAAACCACCAAGAGAACAAGATGACATCAAAGCAGGGCGTAATTTAACAGTTTTATATAAAAGATGTAAATTGAAGGATCCAATGAACTTGAATTTTAAATATAATTGCGATCGGAACTTCTACCAAAGTCACGATCCACCTTAACAAAATATAATGAATAACTCCGTTTGCCCATGTTACAGATTATTGATCAATCTTTTATTGAATTTTACTTTTCGTGCTTTGATTTGCTTTAGAAATGAGCTATTTAAAATAACTATTCGGTTAAACCAAATATTTACATAATGTGTAAGTAGTATTTATATTGTGAGAATTAACAAGCCGTAATACAAAAAAACAACTAATATAAATTATTATTTAATATTGTACTTCTGTAGAAGAAAATCCTGGAAGGAATAACTTTCTTATATGAAATAAACAAATCGCATTATAATATGTGGATTTTAAACAATTAGTAAATAGTTATTTAAATAAATAATCTAACTCAGAGAAATCTTTAAAATTTCTCACTAGAAATCAATTATTGAGTGAAATAACACTTCGCTCTATTTTATAATTACCTTGATTTACTTATATAATTAAATTTAAAAACAAGTTGAATTGTAGTGATGGAATAATTAGTTTGACGACTTACTTCAGTGTTTGTAAGCAGATTATCTTATTTTTCAATCATTTAACATATATGAAAAAGTCAAAACATTGAATTGCATTTATTAATTTCAGTGGTACTGGGGCAAATCAAACTCAATAGCTCAGGTGTTACAAATTTTACGATGAGTACTTTGCTCCTGAGTTTCCATGGATCTTACGACGTAGTGAAGAAGTACTTGCTCTAATATACTTCTATTATATAAGATATAGAGTTTGATTTTCGTTTGTACCACTATACACGCGATATATAGAGGGTGTTAGTGTAAACACCGTTATCCTTGAAACCAGTGGTTTGATTTCATTTATAGAACGTAAATTCAATGAAAAATAACAACATTTTTTTTAGTCAAATCTCAATTTTTCCTTAATACCTCAATTTTTGCCTGTCCTAAGCCAGGATGAAAGTATGAAGGAAAAGGCATCACAGGTTATGTGTATCTATTGTGTTTTATTGGAATATTGTGTTGGCTGAAGACATGTTAAGATATAAAGGAAATCTGTGGGAAATAGGTGGCCCAGGACCGTGCTTTGCAGCATTCTTTGCGTTTGGAGTGTTCAGCAGTGGATTTGTGAAATATCAATT